TGCAACTAGCTGACCATTCAGTGAAATTTCCTTTAAGTATGCTAGAAAATATTCCAGTGCGTATCAGACAATTATATATTCCCATTGATTTCATTATTATGGACATCAAGGAGGACTCTAACATCCCTATTATATTAGGAAGACCATTCCTCGCCACCGTTGGAGCCATTATTGATGTAAAAAGAGGTAAACTCACTTTTGAGGTTGGCAAAGAAAAGGTCGAATTTATTCTCTCTTAATTATTCAAGGCACCGACTATAGACGATTCATGTTGTTTCTTAGATGTCATTGATGAATGTGTTAAAGAAATGGAGAAACAACATACTACATATTCAAATGTTTTGAAAATTCCAATACCTCATATCCTTGAAGACGATAATTGGTGTGATGAATACAAAGATGACAATCTAAGTGAGTGTTTCGTGTGAACTCTTGACCATATGCCTTGCCCAAAGAAACTAATTATAGAACTTAAAACACTACCCAAATATCTAAGGTATGAATTCTTAACACATAACTTGAAAACCCGTTAAAATCAATGTAGATTTAGGACAGATAGAAACTGAAAAATTATTACATGTCCTGAGAAAATACCTAACTGCTTTAGGCTATAATATCTTAGATCTAACAGGAATAAGTCCCTCTATCGCATGCATCGCATTATACTTAAAGAAGAATGTAAGACCTCGAGAGAACATCAGAGAAGAATAAATCATGTTCTGAGGGATGTAGTCAAGAAAGAAGTACAAAAGTCATTAGAAGCAGGAAACATATACCCGATATTCGATAGTAAATGGGTTAGCCCAGTACATGTTGTACCAAAGAAGGGAGGTGTTACAGTTGTCAGGAATGCAAAAGGAGAATTTGTCGCACAACATACTCAAACCTGATGCAAAATATGCATTGACTATAGGAAATTAAACAAAGCCACTCGAAAAGATCACTTTCCTTTACCTTTTATTAATAAAATGCTCGAACGATTGGCTTTTCATTCTCTATTATGTTATTTAGATGGTTATTCAGGATTCTTTCATATCCCTATTCATCATGAAGACCAAGAAAATACCACCTTCACTTGTCCCTATGGTACATTTGCTTAATGACGAATGCTGTTTGGACTATGTAACCCTCCCACAACATTCCAAAGATGCATGATGTCAATTTTCGTTGATTTTATAGAAGATATAATGGAAGATTTTATGGACGATTTCTCTATTTGTTGGAAAAGTTTTGAAGGATGCTTATCAAACTTAGAAATGGTACTTGAATGATGCTTACAAGTAAATCTCGTGTTAAATTGGGAAAAACGCCATTTCATGGTCCGACAAGGAATCGTGCTTGGACATATAATGTCAGATAAGGGGATTGAAGTTGACAAAACTAAAATAGAAGTTATAGAAAACCTTCAATCTCGGAAAACTGTAAGAGAAATATGAAGTTTCTTAGGACCTGTCGATTTCTACCGACTATTCATTAAAGATTTCTCTAAAATCACCAAACCATTAACCGACCTATTAATGAAAGACGCTGAACTCATTTTTGATGACAAATTCTTAAAATAATTCGAACAATTAAAAACAACTCTCATTACCGCACTTATTATGTAACCACTTGATTGGAGATTACCGTTTAAAATCATGTGTGACGGTGGTTATTATGTTGTAGGCGTAGTCTTAGGACAAATAAAGGATAAAAAGCTTCACACAATTTATTACGCTAGTAAAATCCTAGATCCCGCGCAGATGAACTACGCCACCATAGAAAAGAAACTTTTAGTTGTTGTGTTTTCTTTGGATAAATTATGTTCTTACTTAGTAGGAGCAAAGATAATTATCTATACCGATCATGCTGCAATAGATACCTATTAAGCAAAAAGGATGCCGAACCAAAATTATTCAGGTGGATGTTACTCCTATAAGAGTTTAATTTAGAAATCAAAGACAAGAAAGTCAATGAAAATGCATTAGATGATCACTTATCTAGAATGGAAGGCATTAAGCATGAACAAGTGTCTTTCAATGATGATTTACCTTACGAACAACTCATATCCCAGTTGGAAAATAATACAGTCACGTGTTTGTAACTTATAACAATATTGAAACAAATGAAGTTATGGAGGCAATCTACATTAAAAACACATTGCCATGGTATATTGAATTTGTCAACTACTTATTAGCAGGAGTGTTACCACCAAATTTAACTTACCAACAAAAGAATAAATTCTTCCATGATCTTAAACAATATTATTAAGATGAACATCTACTTTTCAAGAGAGGCGTCGATGGTAAGTTTCATTGGTGTGTCCCCGAAGATTAAGTAGAAAGTATAATTTTCCATTATCATTCTGCCTCCTATGATGGACATGAAAGCACTTTAAATACTTGCGCTAAGATCTTGCAAGATGGCCTCCTTTGGCCTAATCTATGGAAAGATTTCTATATCGCGGTCATAAATTACGACTGATGCCAATGCATTAGAAATATATCTAGACGCGAAGAGATGCCATAAAAAGGCATTTTAGAAGTAGAAGTCTTTAACGTGTGGGAATAGATTTCATGGTTAAATAACTGGAAAAAGCATCTGATATAAAATCAATGAAGTCACCATCGAACGTCTTTTATCCCGCTGAAAGGGAAAGGTGAACATCGAGTAAACCTGAAGGGATGAAATCATGGTCTTGCGACTATAGAGATCGGGTAAGGAAGTCGGTTATGCGAGCGGAAGGTATTAGCACCCCACGCGTATGTGGTACTTCACAGGATCTACTTATGTTTGTTCTAATCTAGGGGTGTATAAAATCTATGTCTAAAGAATAAGAGCTAAAAGGAAAGATGCAAAGGGGAATGCATGCAAAAAGAAAACACGGGGATTTAAGTAAAGTTAGAGTTTTTTGAAGTTTGAAAGAAGTTTTAGTTTTAATGAGATGCAAAAGGGGAGAAAAAGTCTAAGGGGGGACTAGCAAAATAGCCCTTAAGTTGTCATGCAATGTTGATCCTATAGTTGAGGATAAGAGGGAAACATCTACCTAATGTTGTCATGCCTGGATAAAGGTCCTAGAGTCTGGTTAGGTCAAACTTAGAGAGGATTGAACTAAAGATACTATGGGAAGCATACAAGAGAAGAATCTGATAAAGAAGGGAGAGGGATGACAAAATATCAAGAAACATGTATCAAGTATAGATCACAAAACGTCAAGCAAGGATGGTAAAACATCATGCAAAGATGAGATGATAAAATATCATACAAAGTGTAGCCGTAGAAATGTTGAGACTAAACCATTTGATTGACTTGACTCGCACAGATCGAATTAAAAATCACCACCGTGCTTTATTGTTTCCAAAGGAATGTGAAAAGAGCGAATAACCCAAAAGAGGGGGGAAAGATTCAAGGTAAGGGGGTTGGTTATGAAAAGGGAAGGTATTACCACCCTAAACATCTACGGTACTCCGCAGGAACCTCTTTGTAAATAAATGTATGTTGGCTATTAAAAAGAGTTATTTGCATGAATGGATCAATTTGGGAAAAAAGAAAGTTTTTTTTATTATTGCGTTCTCCCGGATCTTCAATCCAGTGCCTACGTATCCCAAGAGGAATCAAAACACTCGTAGTTCTTCTTTAAAAGTTTTAAAACACAAGTGTGTTGGTTAATTTTATGAGGTAAGACATCATCGTCATTGTACATGTGGAAAACATACTTACTACCCACAATCAAGAGAAAGGAGAATTTTCATCATCTCAAAGTGGAGAATATGGCTTGGATTTTAAAATCAGCAATGCCTCACTCAACACCCAAGTGAAAAATATCTCTCTTCACTACATATTCTAGAAATATAGTTGTTTGCATCACTACAAGGATTGACGAAAGTCTAATATTTTGAGAAAGGTTTAAAAATAAAAAGCCAAAGTGGCAAAATGGTTTGAAATGAGATTTATTGACTTTTAGTCTTCTTACAAAAAAATGTCAAAGTATGATTAAGTTGGTTAAAATTTGATTAAGAAATATAATTTTCGAAAATGCATTGACCTAAGTCCAAGTTTTTTATGAAAGCAATTCCAGTTTACATAACAAGAAGAGTTTTGAAAAGGAGGGGGAAGATATTTAAAGAGAAAAAATGCACAAAAGGCACAAGATGATTTGAACGGGTTAGAGTATTTTATTGGGGGAAAATCTAAAGTGATTCGAAGGTTGAATTAAAAGGAAAGCTATCATGCTGCTTGTATCAACATCCTAATGTCTAATCAACATAAAACGATCAAAAGGGAGATTAATCGTCTCATGGAATCCTAAAGGAGTATGGCATTTCAGTTCATGATAATTTTAATACTCAAGCATTTTATTTGGTCAATATTACATGAAGAAAACACACAAAAAATGATATTAAACTTGATTTAAAAAGAGATCAAGAAAAAAAGAGAGGAAATAGTAACAATAAAACCTAATTAAAACACTTCTAAAAAAATATAAAGTATTATTTATTTATTATTATTTTTTATATGTATTTTATTATTTTTATTATTATATTATTTTTAATACCTAAAATCAATAAAAGAAACTAAAACAATTGAAATGGGAAGGAAAATATTAGGGAGGTGAGAATTAAGAAAATGGGTGTGGTCAAAAGAATAGCGCTAAGGCCCAATCAGAAAGATCCATGGAACAATTTTTGTTTAAGCTCAAAAATAAACTTGTAATAGGCCTTAAGCCTACCAACAACATGGCTTTCGGCCCAAATTCCTTTTCCCAAAATTCAGCAATTATTCATTTCAAAAATTCATTTAAAACAATTAACAATTAAAAAAAAAAGAACGACGTTGTTTTAAGGAGAAGAAGGCTTGGGTTAAATTCTTTGTGACTAATCATCTTCCACAAACTCATCTCCTTCGTATTCTTTATAGCGGCGCCGTACTCACTTCTTCTTCCTCAACATCGTTGAAATACAGCTACCGCCGATAACGCCACCACAAATTCATCTTCGGCTCACTCATTCAACAGAGACATCATGGATTTAACTCCTTCAATCAACACGGCTTCATTCAATTACATTGATCCTCTCAACGCTTCCTCTACCATGAACCTCTCAACTCTGCGTGTGATTTACTCAGCGATGCTCTCAACATCGTTCAATTCGGATGCCTCAGACATCCTGCCAACAATGATTTACTTTTCCTCCAACCATCACTGTGGCTATTATTCTCCATACAGTCTCGATCTCGCGTCGTTCGATTTTCTCTTCACCACTTCCGAATGGATTTACTCCGACGCGCGTTTATGCTCCTCCTATTGCGTCTTCTTCATTCCTTGTTTGCATCGGTCGTGATTAAAGTTTCAAGGCCATGTTCTTCCTCATCCGCGAATTCGTCTCCGAATTAGTACAAATATGAATCACATAGTGTAAGAAAGGAAGAAAAGAAAGATGCTTACCTAACGGAATTCGTCCGACGTGTCTTCAACGATGTTGTGACAAAGAGAAAAATCAGGTAAATCCTCTGATATGTTGCTTCATTGATTCACTTATTCTTCATCTGTTCTTAGAAGTTTGCTACAGGTAACTCAATCCGGAACGTTGAATTTGAAATTTTGTTATATGAATGAATGGATGAGATGAACTGAGATGGAACTTCAGTTCTTATTTTCCTGATTTTTCTTTGGTTTAATACTTCCTCTGGTTTTCTCTTTGGCCTTGATGAGCTGGTATAAACTTCTTGCGCAAGCTTTTAATTCTTTTCCAAAATTCTGTTTTGCAATTTTCTAACTAATTTTGTTCTGTTATTTGTTGAGATGGAAGTTAATTTTTTCACGAATTTGAATTTCTGTTCGGAATTCTTATTCGAAATTCTATTTTCAGCTTGGCGCGCGTGCATCATTTCCACTAGCAAATTGTGCAGGGTATGCTGGAGAGGAATAAACAAACTAAGCCCTCTTTTAATGTTCTCGGTAAATAAGAAAAATTCTTGACCTGTACTAGTATCTCTCAACTTTCTTCTGTCGTAGTCCCACACTTCAAGCTTGTTGTAAAGTACGTATTTGCTCAAACCATCAAAGGAAGGTTCCTAAGGAATATTTACTTTCAAATTTCATCTTATATTTTTTTATTAAAATCTGAATTGATTTTCTGATGTAAATGCAGGGCAATTTTTGGTACATATTGTGAACTTGGGTTTCTTCATGAGCATGGACAAAATTTTAGGAGAATAGGATTAGCTTTTGAATCAACTTCAAGGCTATTTGGATGTGGACAAGTTGTTTTTTTTTAAATGAAAAGTATTGTAGAAATTGAGTCGTTCAAACATTGGTCATTGATTTCAATTTGAATGAATTTTGATTGATTTTTTTTTATTGTTGAATACGTCTGTATCTTGAAATCAAAATGGAACTTTGAATGCTTTGTAATGCCTGAATTGGTACTTAAGAATCTCAAAATTTGTATGCTAAGAAAAGTCGAACCATGATACCTACTTTCAGAACTTTCACTTGGAATCATGTCGTGATATGGATTATAGAGTCTTGACTTCATTTTGAATGAATTTTCCAATGATGAATCTGGAAAGATCTACGCCTTAAAACCTTAATCTTGCATCTCGCACTCGCTTCTTTGAATTCCAAACAAACTACATGAATGGGTCTTCCAAATTTAGCCAACTTGCACCATAAAAATAAATCCTTTAGAACAATCTTGAATCAAAAACAAATACACATGAATGAATTATGTCCTGCACAATTGAATAAAATTTGAAGATTGATCTTGAAACCATGTGGAATGATATTGAATGATCTTGAAACCATGTGGAATGCCTTAAACTTCAAGTAACTCTCCTTTAAAGAAATTCTCACAAATGGACTTGAATTTGCATTGACATTGAATGATATTTATATAATCAAATTTGAATTCCATACAAACCATTACATGAATTTCCTTGAATTAGTCCGAAATTAATCACATTTCTTGAGTGAATCTTCAAATCACCTCCAATGGAACCTTAATTCAAATCTTCAATTCATACTATCTTGCAATACGAGCAATAAGTACTTTGAAAGAACAATAATGCTTTGAAGTGTGAGAGAAATATGACCAAGATAATATTAATGTGAACACACTAATTCAATGATCCTTAATCTCCAGTGTAATAAAAATTCAAGAAGCAATCCTATCATTTCATAGCTTAAGCAGCAAGAAACATCTTAATTTGAAGAAATCTTCAATCAATCATTAACCATTTAACAAATAACATCACAAGAATGAAGTCCTTGATTCAATCCTCTAGACATCTTAACAAGAATGTCTTGTGGAGAAAGCAATTAGGAGAAGCCCTAAATGATGATGGGCTTACAATAGAGAGAATGGTGATCCTTATAGCCTTGAGGAGAAAACCTTGAGGAATCTTGCCAAGGAAAAAATCCATAATGCTTGTAGATCCAAAACCCTTATTTTATACCAATAGTGTTGAGAGAACCAGTTTAATCAACAAGAGGAAAGTAACAACCTCAATCCACAGGAAAATCCTAGTTCCAAGAGCTTTTTTGATCTAATGCTTTAAGATCTCAAATGAATGAAAGATTTGTGATGTAAATGCATATGCTGTTATGAATGAACAAATTAGGGGTAAAAAATAGGGTATGACACAAAGAATGAGATGTAAAAACATCATGCATTCGTGTATCAAGATGACAAAACATCAAGTATAGAGAGAGATGATAAAACATCACAAAGATGGCAATACATCACATAGATGATAAAACATTACAAAGATGGCAAAACATAAAAAAAGATGACAAAACATCGCAAAGACAAAAAATACATCACACATGATGGCAAAGCATCACAAAGACAAAAAAAAAACATCACACATGATGACAAAACATTGCAAAGAAGATAAAACATCAGAGAAGCAAACATACAAGATATATACCAAAGCATTAATCAGGAATACAAAAGAGATGGCAAAGCATCAACATATCGAGAATAAATGTCCACACATCAGCAAACATACAAGACATGGGACAAAGGGAAAATACAAAGCATACAAAGGGGATGGCCAAAGGAGGAAAGAAACATTTTTGAATTTAACAAGTAAAGATCAAAAGAAGAGAGTGAGAATAATTGAAGAATTATGCCATGTGTGACTTGTATAGTAAGTTAAATCGAGATGAGACTCAAGAGCAACCAAGTAAGAAGACGAAACATCCTACACAAGAAAAGTCACCTAATTGATGAAAAAATCATCTAAGATGGATAATACTTATCTTAAATCAAATGAAATTGATAAAGCTCGAGAAAAGTGCAATGACATCTTGTATATCATGGGGTGATGATGATACCCTCACAAGACATCAATCATGAACATAAAGACTCGAGTAATATCAACAAGATAACATACTCAAGTGTCATGATATATGGCAAAGTATGGTCCCTTGATGCGTAAAAGAAGCGTGATTTAAATAAATCAAAGGTCAATCTTATTAGATGTTATGGGCAGACGCCAACATCAATATATACACATGGGACATGGCACAAAATCTCGTGAGACAATCACTAGACAGTGATGCTCAAAACACAAATGGAATGTAGCTTCTCATATATCACCATGTCGGTTAGTAATGAAGTACTTAACCAAGGATCAAAGAACCTGGAGAAATAATATGAAAAAAAGATGATAAAACATCAAGATAAGAAAATGATTAAACATCATGATTAAAGATGGAAAAAATCAAGCACGAACACATATGTAAAAACCAAAATCAATAAGAGAGCAGATGGTAAAACATCACACAATAGATGACAGAACATCAACGCATAAAAGATACGACATTAAGCACACACATGTTAGGATGAAAAAACATCACATCTTAAAGAGAGAAGAATGATAAAACATTAACACCCAACAATGATATCGAGGATCAAAGTAGGATAAGAAATGATAACGAAACATCATATGGAACAACATACACCTAACAATGATATCAAAAGTTAAAGTAGGATGAAAAATAAGAGATGGTAAAATATTATACCTAACAATGATATTAAGAATCAAAGTAGGATGGAAGATAGGAGATGGAGATTAGATAATCACATATCGCACATGAGAAGTAGAGACTTACTCAAGATTTAAGGTACTTAGATAAGATACCTAAAGAAAACATGCTTAGATAAGCAAATGAAGAAGAACATGCACGCAGGTAGACACCTAAGCAAGTAGTCAAGTAAAAGATGAGATGGCATTTAATCAAAACATGCTTACAAAGGTAAGACTTTTAGTCAGGCATCACTGCGAGAATGAGAAATAAAGAGAGGTATGATGATACCTAACGGAGAAGGTCTGTTTCCTATTCACTATGCACGAGATGATATAACTCTACTGAATGCATCCTTGAACTTTATGCAAACAAATATTAATTAGAAATACCCGGGTTACATCAGCAATCGATCGCAAAATCAATGTAAAAGTATCCACAAGATAAATGGAATGCTTGGTGTATGAGAGTTGAATCGGGTTATGATTAACCAAGGGGTGTACTTGATTAATCTCGTGAGAGTAGGTGCTCCTACCCTTAACCATGAGACCCTTTTTGCATGGAGCACTTGGTATATGGACCAAAGTGATTAATTTGGGTTATGATTAACCAAGGGAAAAAATTGATTTATCTCGTGAGAACGGCCATGCCCAAACTCAACTATGAGACCCTTTTTGTGCATGGAAACACTTGGTATATGGACAAAAGTGATTGATTCGGGTTATGATTAACAAAGGGCAAAATCTAATTAATCTCGTGAGGATGGCCTTGCCCAAACACAACTATGAGACCCTTTAAGAAAATAATTGGTATGTGGACTAAAGGGAGAGAAGAGAGTTGCTTCAATGCATAAGATAAAAATTAAAAGCCCATACAAGGTGGCTATATGCATGCTCCTAAAAAGTGGGACTAGTGTGGCACTAGTATTCTAAACGGCCCATTGGAACAATTGATCGAGTAGTTGTCGCTGTAGAAAAGCCCAAGATCAAACTATGAAATGTGTACATGTATGCATGTTTAGATGGATACCTGCTTATTGATGATGAGCCCAAGAGGAGACCATGTTCTTTAATTGAATGATTATGCATAATCATACGATGATTAAAACATGTAAGGAAATAAAATTCTAAACTACAAAGAAATAAAATTCTAAGCTATTACAAACCATATGGGAATGGGAGTACAAGTTTATGAATGGGGATGTATCAAATTGACAACACGATTAAAAGTCTAAATAAACAAACAATACAACACAATCGAATTTAATTAAACAACTAATTAAATTGAACTATCTTATTTAATAGAATT